TATGACCTATTTCTCTACAAATACCACATCTTCTTTGCTCTTTTTCTGCGTCGTCCATCTCAGTTCTAATTCTAGTACTATTTGGACGCCCTGTTTTATTTCTTCTCATGGAATCGTCGTGGCATAGAGTAAAACCTTCATACTTTGGCCAGTTCTCCTCGTGCGGTAGTCCCAGGAAGCTCTCCTGGTAGACCTTGAACACGCTTAGAACTTTGAAGACCTCTGGAATGTGAATTGTGTAGTCCTGTCGTATGCTAGAACATGCCACTATCACGTGAGAGCAAGGCAAGTGAAATGCCTGAAACTTTCCACTGTCACAGAATCGACTACGCAAGTCAACACGGAAAGTACCCGTTGGACGACCGTCGTTATAGTTAGTCTTTTCCTGCACCATGAAACAGAATCTTTCGCGATCAAATTGCATGACGTTGTGTGTGTTAGCCTTAGCTACCTCTTTAGCCATGCCTTTGTTACAACCATTTGTAAACACTTTCCCTGAAGATAACATCTTGGTCCATTTGTGACCTCTTTTACCAAAGAGCGAACCCATTCTATAGTACGTAGACTGGACTAATGCAGTGATGGGAAGGTTTCTTGTTGCCTTTAGTACAGAGTTTATTGTCTCTGCCAAGTTAGATGTCATATGTCCCCAACGTTGCCCTCCATCAAATGCTCTGGCCCACTTCTCCCTAGGAATATTGTTTATCCAATTCGAAGCCTCAATGTTTGTTTTTCTGATTTCTCCGCGATAGTAATTAAATGTAGCCTCTGTTAATGCGTAACCTATAAGAAAAATTGTGTGAAAAAATGATAAAAGTGTGCTACGAAACTTGAGATAAAAATGAAAAATTTTATTTTCTTACCCATGTTAACAAGTTTTTTGCGTAGAGCCTTGTCCTTGATCTCGTGCATGAAGTTCTGAGCGATGTGCCTTATGCAGTAGACATGGGAGGATGTTGGTTGAAGCCATCCGTTTTCGGGATTGTTGTATGCACTCTTTATCGATTCGTGTCTATCTGATATTAGACACAAATTCGGTTGTGGTGTCACGTGTAGTCTCAGGTTCCTCAGGAAAAAACTCCACGCTTCCTTTGTTTCACCTTCGACCAATGCGAAGGCTATTGGGAAAATATTTGCATTGCCATCTTGTGCCACCGCCATCAATAGAGTTCCTCTGTACTTACCATACAACCAAGTTCCGTCTACCTGCACAATGGGCTTACAGTAGGCGAAGCCACGTATACACGGACGAAATGCCCAAAACAAACGATGAAATATTTGTTTTCCAGAGAGTTGGTAACCTTCATTTGATATCGCAGGTAGTGTTTCTAAATCTATAATGGTTCCTGGAAGAAAGGTTTTCATTACCAGTAACCACTGCGGTAGGTCGTTGTAAGATGTTTCCCAATTTCCAAAAAGCGACTCTACCGCCTTGCACTTAGCGATCCACGCCTTCCTATAAGATATGATGTACCCGTATTTTTCTAGAATATGGGCAATGATCACTTTTACCTTGAGTGAGGCGTCGGTGTTGACAAGTTCCCTGATGCTATGGCTAGCCATTTCTGAACTGAGCTTCCTATGGTCTTGTGCCATAGACGTCGAACTGCATGTGTGAGCCCCAGACAACTTACCTATCACCCATTTCGAGCTCCTTTTTCTCAAGGAAGATCTGCACTTGAAACCGCAATCTTGTTTCTTACATTTAACGACATACCGTTTATTGTCAGACTTATACACCTAATAGTCAACACTGCGTGTTATGTGCCAATGCTGCAGAGCAAATACACAAGCTTCCTTGTCGTCGAACTCCATCCCAACCTCGATTTCGTCACCTACATGGTTTTGAGTAGCATTTTCAAACACAGAGGTTGTATCGTCGTGTTCGTCACATATATTTTGCATGTGAGCAGGCGGGTTGTACAAACTTATTGGTTGTGCACGGATCGACGTTACGACCATATCTTCATTGTCTTCGTCATCACTGTCACCAAAAATATCTTGCATCCTGACCTCCTGAATATCGTCGTCGCTTGCTTCTCCAACCTCCTCATTTGGTATGAAAGGGAGGTTGTTTTGTGTTGGTTCGTCGTCAGATGTTTGACTGTACCCATAGCAGTGTGACCGTGTCTCTTGTGTTGGAAATGTTTCGGGGTTGTCTATTAGTCGGACATACAACTCAATTGTATGTAAGTTATCAAACATCGTGTGGCACCAAAACATTGTAATCACATCTTCGTCATTTCTGATCGGCGTCATTAAGTAAAAAATTGTACGCTCGTCTTCAATAAGTGTTGGATGGCGATAAAATATTTCTGAAACGCTTCGTGTCAATTTTTTTCCATTCTATCTTTTAAATGAAAAAAATCAGAATTCACATGAATTTTAAACGCGTATGTATCCGTGTTGCTGAACGAGAAACCGTCGGGGCTATTTGTTGTAAAAACACTGTTGTAGTGGCATGTAAGAATTAGGTTTCTCAGAGACATTTTCGAATGTGGAAAATTTCTTGGTGGTGAAGAATGATAGTAGAGTGGTTATGAATATTGATAGTAGTGTGTGTTGAACATTTTCGTATACACATATATATATGAGATAAATAATGAAATATTAAACTACAAGCTCGTCCATTAAAAGGACGTCCTCAATTCTTCATTACCATAAGCTCGTCCCTCCATAGGGCGTGCTGGTTACGTGTTGCCTACATGCTCGTCCCTTCCATGGGCGAGCTTGTGTTGGAGTGTGCTTTCTCGTCCAATGCATGGGCGAGCTTGTGTTGGAGTGTCTGCATGCAAAGAACAAATGTGTAAGGCCTACGCATGAGGGCTTCTGCATGCATGAAGACTAGTTTTGCATGCAATGGTCATTCAAGACAATAAAGTTGACATAATTTATTAATATTTGCATGCATGAATAATCATTTTTCTATAAATTCGATTTTTTTACTTTAATTTTTCTACTCAAACTTTCTAAACTCACTACACTAGCATTTGTAACACAAGCATTGTATTTCTCTACTCTTCCATTTTTACCATGTCGATTTTGTGGATGGGCGAAGAACACCGTGGTACACAGCAGAATATCCAAGCAAGCGTAAGTTTGTTAATAATATCATTTCATTAAATATTATTTCTCTAGTAGTTTAATAATATAAATTTTGATTACATTATGTTTGTTCAATGTTGTTGCAGACAAATGCCCCAAGGTTTAGAGTGCATTCGCATGCTCCTATTGATGCAAATGCGAGAATAATGTCATATCTTGAGATAGCCGGTTTTGCAAATATTTCAAAAATAAAAAGTCTAAAAATCGACTCCAGCTTGGTTGTGGCGCTGTTGGAGAAGTGGAGACCAGAAACACACACGTTTCACCTCCCAACGGGCGAATGCACAATAACTCTTGAAGATGTCTATATGTTACTTGGTCTGCGAGTTGATGGAACAGCCATCAACGGTCCCACTGAGGTAACAAACTACGTTTACATGGAAAACTTAGGGGTGGAACCTACCGAAGATGAAAAAATAAAATGTTTCGTTAAAATAACCTGGCTAGAGGGTTTATACGGAAATTTAAAAAATAAATCTGCCCCTACCCAAGAAGACGTTCTCTTAGAAGCTAAAATATATATTTTACTTGCAATCGCTACAATATTGTTTCCTGACAAAAGTCAGAATCTATTACATTCTTCTTGGATCCCTTTCGTAGGGGATCTTATAAAATACGGCACCTATAGTTGGGGTTCTGCATGTCTAGCTAAATTGTATAGAGAAATGTGCAAGGCGGCAGTGAAAGATGTTAGGAGCTTGAGCGGATGTGCACTCCTATTAACATCATGGGCATTCACACGTATCCCATTGTTTGCTCTTGTCACTACAGTGGAACCCTCGTATCCATATGCACAAAGGTATTACTTTATTAAAATATTCATTTATGTGTACATAACGCAAATATTTTTTATTCAACTATCTCTAACAATATTTTTTATTCAACTATCTCTGACAATATTTTTTTTGGTAAAAAAGATGGGTACAACGAGGGATGAACTACCGTGCAAATCCTCGTTTCCATCTCCAAGGTTATCGAAACGCATTGGACCATATGCAAGAACACGATGTAAGTTTCAAACCGCGTGGAAATAGTCTTCAATTCAACTCATTATCGGTATATTAATTTCCTTTTTTTTTTCAGTTCATATGGAGACCGTACATTTGATATCCGCTGCCGAGGCTTGAAGATAGTCAAATCTGGAGTGCAACAACATTCCTTATCTGTTTCTATACCGTTGAGATGCATCAAACGGATAGAGTAACACTCCAGTTTGGACTGGATCAACAAATCCCTCCCCCCCAAGGTGTCTAAGAGAACACCACGCCATGACTATGAGAAAGGCACAAAGAGTTAATTGGCGACAATTAAACAACGATGAGCTCAAAGAATGGAGAAACAGGACACATGTGATTTTACAAGGGGATGTCGTGTTAGGTGAACGCAAGCCAAGTCAAGAGTATTTAACTTGGTTTCGTGCCATTCCTTATGTGCACATTGCTCCGGACCAATTTTTAACGGACCCACGCTTGCAAGGATCATCATCGACACAACAAACTACGACATCAATGCATCAGGATGTGCCACCAACCCACACATCCCAACATTCATACCAAAACCAAACACCCAACAACCCACTCCATCAACAAAACTATACATACCAATACAACCAACAATAGCAGCCTCAACCATACGTACGACCACCCATACAGTTCACCCCAGTCCAACCGCCCCTCTTTGACCATACCGACCCTCATTTCCAATATCAACCCTCCAACACAACCTACTCTCAACCCGCCTCGACCATCAACACTACCTATACTCAACCCACCCAGAACTTTACGCCTGATGACGTCTACTACCCAACCTTTCAACACCCCCGATCCGAAACCTACCCGCCACCACCGCAACCACCACACTCATTCCAACAATTTTTGTTGACAGACGAGCAACTGATGCAGATGCCGGATTTTAACATTGATGATCTTCTTGATGAGCAACCGGGACCCTCTTCACGGCCGACAAACCCCCCTACAATACATCACCATGAAGACATGTCTTCTGACTCTTCTGAATCAACTAGAAATGAGCGTTTGGGTAGGGGACATAGACAGCGAAGGATCCCTAGGTGTGGAACTGGGGGACATATTAGATGAATTGTATTTTTATTTTAATCAGTGTTAAAATTATTTATTAATGAGTATTTCATAATTTAATTTTTTATTCATGAGTATTTAATAATTTATTTTTTATTAATTAAAATTTTTTTTTATTGATGAGTATTTTTTAATACATAAAATTTCATTATTTATTAAAATTAACATTATTATTTTATTATTATTTATAATACATAAATAAATAAATAAAAAATGTATTCAAAAATAAATATACATAAAATTCAGAATTAAAAAAAATTAAAATTTTATTATTTATTAAAATTTACATTATTATTTTATTATTAATTATAATACATAAATATTTAATGTATTAAAAAAATAAAATTCCAATAATACATAAATAAAACTCAGAATAAAAAAAATTAAAAAAAATCACGTTCACAAGCTCGTCCTTCCAATGGACGAGCTCCTATTGGGCCATATTGAATCACAAGCTCGTCCTTCTGTTGGGCGAGCGTCTACTGGGTCAAACTGGTTCGCCATTTCAATGGGCGAGCTCGTAGCAGAAAGGGGGTACTCTGGTAAAAAAAATTTCAAAATGGGGTATTTTGGAATATTAATTTTCAAAAGGGGGTAGTACGGTCAAAAATCCTCAAATCTTCTTTCATGCACCTGGGTGTTTTCTTTATGAGAGAGAGAGGGAGTAATAAAATTAAAAGCTCTCTGCCAAAATCTACCTCTTCCCCCCCCCCCCCCCCCCCCCCCGCCCTTTTATGCAGTTTTTCATTGTTGTTTTTCTTTAACAAAACTTGCAAAAGGCATCATGATATTGACTATTCAAGCTGCAAATATTGGGGAATAAGCTTTGTTGGCTAGTGACAGTGAAAAGTAGCAATGAGTGAGAGAGAAAAGCCTATGACATGAGTTACAAGAGGTGGTGTATTACAAATGCCACTTTCATGTTATATCACAAATGCCCTTTTGTTGTGTCATAGAAAGATGAGTTTATTTGGGCAAGTTTTGGGACCCCAATATGCAGGTCTTGGTGCACACGAAAAGAATTCATGGATGCTGCATAACTTTTATTCCACTAAGTCATTAAACTTGAGCATGGTGCAAGATAGAAACAAATACATATGACTCACTTTGGTACACTAAATCTCCATGAATATTGGCTCAAATGTGGAGACCTTGAGCTCTTTGGAAAATGGGCAATTTGGAAAATGGGCAAGTAACTCCACAACTTTCATATGAATGTAATTTGGAGTTGAGGTTTGGAAATACATGCATAATCCTATTGAAATTTGGTACAACAAGTTGTCCAATAATACTTGACAAAATTTTCTAAGTATAAATCCCAACTTTGAAACCATGACACTTTAGAACACCATAACTTGAGATTGGTTAATTCAAATGGAGAGTTCTTGATATTCTTAGAAATGTTGAAGAACAAAAAACAACTTTGATGTTGGACTAAAATTGAATTGAGGCTTGCATCATCAAGAAAAAACTCTATGAAGTTGGTTCCAAAATGCTAAGCAAACATTGTCAACTTTGCCAACTTTGTAACCCTAACTTCAAGGCACCATAACTTGAGTTCTAGACATGATTTTGAGGAGTTCTTGCTATCAAAAGAAATCAGAGAATATCATTTAAAACCTTCATGTTGATGAAAAAATCAAATTAGACTTGGAACCCTCTTGAATTTGACCATGAAGATCACTCAAACAAGCTGAAATTTATAACTTAGCAAATTTTTCTAAGTATGGAATTTCCAAATCAAGTTTTTTCTAACTTTGAATCAACATAACTCCAAATCCATTCATCTTTTGGACATGATTTATTCTACAAACTTGTTGTTTAGGATATCCTATTTACAAATATCATTGGTTTGCTCCAATTGGCTCATGGATGAGTGAGATATGACTCTTGGAAGATGACTAGAATTCTTGATTTCCACACTTAAAATTTTCAACCAAAACCCTAATTTCACCAAACTCTTGATTTTATGATTCATTCATATGAGACCATGGAATAAGACTTGTGAAGCTTTTGGTTAACCTCAAAACCCCTTGGTTGATTTCTCACTCAACTCTTGATTAATCAAGACTTTCTCCCTTTTTTTCACAAAATAAACAAAACCACAAAGCTTGATGATTTGGTTAGATATGCAATATGATGTTTCACCTAAGTGATATGCAAAAGATCAAAGAATTTGAGGGTAAAAATTTGGGGTATGACAATGCCCAGGATATTTTTGGAACTTCATGTGCTTGATATGTACTTTAAACTTTTATTCTGCTTGTGTTAATGTTTGGTTGTTTAGTTAGTTAACTACCTTTGTCATATTATGGCTAAAAGGGGGGGGGGGGAGGATAATACTAACTTAACTAAGCATTGCTAACCACTAGATGTTGTTGAGAGGGGAATGCTAACCACTTTCTAAAGAAGAAGGAACTGATTGAGGGGGAGGCTATATTATTTTCGCCGCTGTTCTGATTTTTGCCTCTGACTTTTTGTGTATTTGTATGCAAGGTTTATTTAGTTAGTTTTAGCCAAAATCTGCCAAAGAGGGAGATTGATAAGTCCAAGCTTTTGAGATTGGCATTAATTTTGGTAAAACTAACTTGACAACAAGATGTTGGACAGTATGTCCTATCATGATGATTTGACATCTTTGTCTGTTACTTTGTAGTTTCGATACTGCTAATTTATTTCCAAATTTCAAAATATTATGGGAATATTTGTTTATTCTATGTGGCTTTTAAGATTGAGGAATCATAGATTCTGTTTGAATTTGAAGATGTCATTTTCTAAGTGTGGAGACATTTTAGGAAACTTTGGATTGAAGAAACTATTCTTGAAGAGAATAAGTTGCAGATTCTGTGTAACATAATTGCTGCGTTTTTGAAGCCCAAATCCAGTCTAGTTTATGTTTATAAATATGATGGATTTAACCTAATCAAAGTGTGGAAAATACATTGTTGCTTAGTGAGTTTTAGGGTTTATGTATTTGTGGGCCTCTCTTGTATCATGTTGATACTAGAGCTGGACTATTTGCATTGAGTTATAATTTCTGTCACTGTTGTGATTGAAAGAGAATTGAGAAATGTCTCATACCTAGGAGAGTTTTAGGTAGAAATTAAGCACGGGTAGTGATTAAGTGATAAGTTGTAAACCGAAAGTTGTTTAGCTTATAATTAATACTATCTAGTGGATTTCATTCCTGGCTTGGTAGCCCCCAAACATAGGTGTTGTTGTACACCGAACTGGGTTAACAATTACTGTGTGTTCGTTTACTTTCTGCAATTTTTATTGTGCTCCTTCTTGTCATTGTGTTTAAAGTAGAGATCAAGTGTCTCAACATCTCTTAGGACATCTGAGATCTGCATACCAGAATTTCAAAATGCTAAATGAATGGAGAAGAATAACTTTAGTTCCAATCTATAAGAACGAGGGAGATATACAAATGTGTGCAAATTATAAGGGGATTAAACTTGTGAGTCATATCATGAAGTTTTATGAAGAATGATTGAAAGAAGACTAAGAAAAGAGACTTAAGTCACTAATAATCAATTTTTTTTAATGCCTAGGAAATCAACCATGGAATCAATCTATCTACTAAGATGTGTGATTGAGCATAATCGGATGGACTAACAAGACTTACACTTAATTTTCATTGACTTTTGAGAAGGAATATGATAGAGTTCCTAGAGAGATTTTGTGGAAATACTGAAAATAAAAGGTTACAATTGCATATATTTGTGTTATCCAAGATATATATGGAGGTGTATTGATTAGTATACTAACAAGGGTGGAGAGACTGATAAGTGAAAAAAGTACATAAAATACATAAACACTTATTAACTTATTTTGCAAGAAATCAATGATCCCCCTCCCCCCAATTTATTAATAAAACATGATAAATTTCATGTATAAACCTTTTTTATAATGCATTCTTTAGGTACATGTAAAAAGTACCAAGAAAGCAGCAAAATTTGATAAAAATCACCTTCCATGCACCCAGACCCGCTTAGCCAAGAGCAGGGCCTTGCTATGAGAGCAAAAGTAGAAAAATAATTCTTAAGAGCCAAGTAACTTCAAGGATAATCAACAAAGTTTCCTTAGCACAATATTAGGCGTGCTAAGCGAGGTATGGTGGTTCAAGACTTAAAGGCTAAGTTACTTCATGGGCAAGAAATTGTTTTCGCTCCAAGCGAGCTTTGAGGCACGCTAAGCGAGGATAGGTTGTAAACACCACTTGCTGGTTTGATGTGACATTTCTTAAGAGTGAAGAAAGTATGAGAGTTAAGCAAGATTCGAGCCTTGCTTAGCGAGAATAGCAGATTAACACTCTATAAATAGGGGTTCAGACAATTCAGTTAGAAGACTTGGTGTAAATTAAGTAGTTTTCTTGGTAGGGAGTGAGAAAAGTCAATTGTTTACCAAAAACACAACAGGAGAGGAAACGAGATGAAGATTTAGGGTGGAAGCATTGTCTGAGGAATGAAGAACAAATGTTTTTCAATGTCTTTCTTCTATGGCTTAATTGTACAGCTACAATGAGTAAGCGTAACTAATTTCAATTTTGTTTGGGCTAGACATAGTTGTCCTAATGCTCATGTATTGGTCATGATCATGGGGTTTTACGTAATTTGTATTAAGCTTTAATATTGATGAATTCTTTGTTCGTAATGCTTGTTTTAGATTAGCTACCAAAAACATATTTTCATGGTATGACTTGATATGCAAAAGGTAGTGGTTATTGCTGGATCCATGCTTTTCATCTATTATGCTAAAATTTAGACATATATTTAGGTTAAGTGTCTATATTAACTATTAAAGCTTAATGGTGTTGTATTTACTAATAGACTGATAGATCGTTTATTAGGTAATACAATTAATCTCACATTGTTGACTCACACATGAGTTACAATGAGAGCAATTGATAGTAACATTAATAGCTAATTACATATTACTAATAAAATATATTACATGTGAATAAGTCAATGAAATAAAACACAACATGTTTTCTCAAC